CAGTTTTTCCAAATATTAAATCACTAATTAAATTAAAAAATGAATAGTAACAACAAAAATTATAGTCCAACAGCATTTATAGAAAGGAAAATCATTTGTTGTGTAAATGTAGTATAATGGATACCGCGTTGGACTTCTAATCCAAAGGTCATGGATTCGAATTCCATCTAGGATTGTCTAATTCCAGAGAATAATTTTAATGTGTGATGTTTACTTTTAATTATTATTATAAGGTTTGTAAATTTAGTGGATATACTATAATCTCCCTCCTGTTTTTGGATTATAACCTCTCTGCATAATTTCAAAGCATGCTTCATGATATTAAATGGTAAAATACTGTAAAAAAATATGTGTTTCAAGTGTAATATTGAATTGTGAAACATTAGTAGGAACATTAAATTTCTTTAAAGATAATAATCAAACATACCAGAAAAAATAGACGATAATTACAAAGGAAATAGCTGGATGTAAATATTTAAAACATTTATGCATATTCTGATCACACACACAATCACTTTCTTTTTTTTAGGGATGACCCTTAAACACCTTAACACTAGAACATTTTTCGGTATCGATTGAACATCGGGGCTAGAGATTGCAATACCGGGATACCAAATACCGGTATTTTGAGCCATTTGTACAATTTTGTAATACTGGTATTCACGAGTTAAAATACCAGTTTTTCGGTATTTACTAGAAAATATATATTTTCTTAAATTGTCTCCTTTATATGTTCAGGGATCGTCAACATAGCAAAATAGTATACGTTTTTGTTTTTATGTCTCCCTAACGGGAGAAATTAATTAGACTGTGAATATAAAATTGCATCGTACAATGGGCTCAACTCATGTGACGTCATAGTCACTTGATAGTGAAAGCCACGTGATTTTAACCAATCAATTGAAAAACTCATGTGACGTTATAGTTACATGATAAAAACTGTTTTGTTTTTCCAGCTAATCAGTTCACGCACTCCGGTGTTGCCAACTTTTGCTCTTTTTGCAGAAACTTTCTCTTAAAAAGTACATATGTATACTAAATGAATTTTATTTAAAAGTATAAGCATAAAATACGATTTTTTTTTCCTAACGTTTAAACATCTTTACCCAAATATGAAATTTGAAATTTTATCTGGGTTTTACAAATAGAACACATTTGTTTTGAATTCAATCGAAAACACGTGTTTGTTTTTATCATGTGACTTCATGAATTGAGCCCATTAAGAGAGGTGATAAAATATGTGAATCATTCAAGGAGGCGGACTAAATGTATTGAATTACAGCTCAGAGCGAAACTGCACACGCGCATAATTTGTAGTCTGAAATTCGTATTTTTGAACACACAAGGATGTAGTTGTGAAGAAAGTACGTAATATTTAGAAATTTTTAAATTGGTGTCTTCGTTATTCACATTATTTTTGCATATCATACTTATAATGATTTTAAAACTGAAAATTAAAAGGAAGAAAAAGTCTAACCAAATCAAATTTGATCAAGTTTATAGTAAATTTTCTTAAAACTTTTTACCCACAAACCTATTTACATTCAGAAGAATTCGGTATACTTATTGAAGATGATGATGGCACTAATGTCGATAGTGAAAAGGAATTGTTTCATTAACAAAAATTAGAATTAGAGATAACTAAAAAAATTTCCACAAACAAAATGCAATGCAGAAATCAGCTATATCCAAAAAACCATCCGATTTATTTCAAAAGATAAGAAATTTAGTGGTAAATACTTGAAAAAAGTGTATCGCGCATTGCTAACAGTACCACGAACTAGCGTAGATGCCGAAAGGGCGTTTTCGACAGCAGGTAATTTTTGCACAAAATTACGTTCCAGGCTTAATGACAGTACAGTTGTGATGCATCATGTTTTTTAAGATAACATTTCAAAAATTTATAATAGTACCACAAACTGAATAGTGATATTTACACGTTTTGTGATTTAAATAAATGAGATGTTCCCTTTCTTTTTTTGTGATTCTTTATTTACTGTTATAATTTATAAGTTACAAATTGTGTTTATTGTGTTATTTATACTCTCTAATGAAACTGGCAAATAAAACAAAGAAACAGCTGTGTTTTTCTAAAATTTCTAATACTGGTATTAAAACCGGTATCCCGGTATTAAGATTTAAAAAATACGGAATACCGGTATTGTGTGTGTGTGTGTGAGCTTTTGGTCCGTTATTGCAATCCCTAATCGCGCACGGAGCCTATTTAGTTTGTTCTCCTTTCCGAATTTTTGCGCGGAATTTTAAAAAATTCTTTGAAACTCTTAAACAGTTTACTTGGTGTTATTAAACAGAAAAAGAATTTGGGTTTCTTTGTTAATTAGGAGAGATTTTACATCTAAATATACCTAGAACTTCCACTGATGTCATTTTGATACCAAGGCAATGTATCATTATACATAACTGTTGTTCAGCAAAAGATAGTTCGCTAAGTAGATACCATTAGTAAAACAAACTTCTGGAATTAATATTGCACATTTGTATCACCTTGAATGCAGTGTAATTGGGTTTACAATGGAAATGAGTCAGTTAAACTAAAATAGTTGTGTCTAAGTGTTTCGTTACATAGCGTTTACTTATCCACTCAAAAAAAATTTTTTTTAATCATTCGATTTTCAAACATTGTTCAGAGTAGACACCCTGAAATGATGAATCATAAAAAAGATCTAAGCCATGATGAAATTGCTAATTTTTTGTAAAAGCGTTCTGAGAATGAATCGGAGAGTGTTTAGCTGTGTGTCTTGCTCTAAATTAGATTCCGATGAAGACAAGACTAAGTGAAAGTGACTTTGTAGAATTTGAAGAAAGTGTAGATGAAATTGATAATATTCCAGTAAATCCTAATAGGTATGTCGTCAGGGATGACACAGAATGGATAACGCTGGCATAATAGTCATGCTCCTAGCAGAATTGCAGTTCGAAATGTTTTGTGACAAACTGGAGGTCAAAAACAAAATGCAGATGTAATTAATAATATTACAGTAAATTCTATGTCTCTAGGAATGACACAGAATGGACATCGTGTAGTAGTAATGTTCACAGTAGATTTGCGACAAAGCAGTGGTCCAGCAAACTTCGCGAGACATTATGTCAACGTCAGTTTTTCGGCTGGAAGGCGTAGTTGGTTAGTCGCTGACCTTCTGTACCCAAGGTTGCGGGTTTGATTCCGACCCAAGTACGTGGATTTTCCTGATGCAGAAAATCGACAGCTGCCATGTCATATGATTACACATGGCATGGAAAAGATCCCTTAAGCGTCCGTTTGGTTTGGATACTCTCTGCAAAATTAAATTCCTAAGTATAAATTTTGCAACGACAGAGCCCAGGTGTCTCCCTCTGGGGAAGAAACTGGGCGTCAAAATTACTTGCAGTAAAATGGTGCCACACTAAGAAGTGATACCTGCTCCTAGGGAATGTAATTGGTCTGCAAAGGTAGAAACATCAATACGTAGCCCTTTACAGAAAAAAAAAATCATGATATATTGGGTCACAATATATGATAATTACATGAAATAATATTAAAAAGTCTTAAAACTAAACCCTACTGAACAGTAGCCTTGTAATTATTTAGTTATTACAATTATTTTATATATTTTTATCACGACAGCGATAGTCGAAATCTCGTACGTTCTAGTGTTAACCAGTTTTTCTGGGCATCAAAAGAGCTACTGAAAGTTAACCACAACTGGTGTGCCCGTCGCTGTGATAGTGCACTGATGTCTTCTTTCTTTGATATAAGTGTAATTTTATTTATGTTGGTATTATTTAGTGCTAGCGTTATTAAAATGTGTGATATAATTTGCCTAGGGTACTGAAATTCTTTTCTTCCGGCATTCTCTTTGTGATGGAGACGGGAATTTTTCTTTGATTATAGCAGGAATTTAAATCCTTACAATTTAAATTCTTCTTTTTGTGATACTTTTGCATTTAGATCAGCGGATTGAAATTACGTATATAACTCAAAGAACAAAAACACTTTTTTGTGAAAGGATGAATTAAATTTGTAAAGCGATTCAGTACTGTCTGCTGATTATTTGGATTATTCTTCGGAGAAATACAAACACATAAACTCCTCCCCACTTGCAAGCACAAGCCTCTCAATCGTTTAAAAAATTACTAACATAAAAAGACTTCTATAAGATATGTTGAAAAATCATACCTGCAGAGTATTCTTACAAAAAGCAAACATTAAAGAACTTTTGTGATCCACAATAATAAAATAAAAAAGTGTGTAAAAACTTTAAAAAATTTAAAAGTAAAAATGAAATCCTTCCCCATTTTCTTATTTCATTAAGTAAGGTGTTGAGAGTTATACACAATAAAAAAAGATGCGTCTTTTTTTTAAAACATTTTGAGTAAAAAAATGCCTGGTTAAGGGGATAACACATGTGATTTGCAATGTATAAATAAATCTGTACTAAAAATAACAGACATTGGCTAAAAGTTTCGCTTAACAAAAACAAAGAATAGTTAACTTTTTAAATATATAAATCATTTGTGTCTTCATATTACTCTGCTTGGAAAGTCAGTTGATTGTCATTATGTGCTTCAAGTATTATTAATATAGAAAATGTTCCTATTTTGTTCAAACTAGTTTTTTCTATGGTCTTAATGTATTTTGAATTTGATTTAGAAATTATTTTCTTAAAAAGAATGAACCAAACCATTTGGAACTCAAATATGACTCTCAGTATTTTGTTCTTTACGTTCAATGAGTAATGTCTCGGAACACCATAAAACTTTGAGAAAAAAATTGATTTTTGTTTTTTTTAAAAATGAATGATTAAGATTTTTACGAAATTACACAGAAAGATGTTCAAGCTGCTTTTTTCCCTTGATTCACCTTTTAAATTTGAAAAACATTGACGATTCATAGTTTCGCGGACTTGGAGTTTTTATCTCTGGCAATAGAATAAGTGAATTTTTAGCAAATATTAACTTATTTGAGTTACAGTTTCTTACAGGAATTTCAATTTCTTGGAGAAATAAAGACATAATTAAGTTTAACCATAAATTAAAAGCACATTAATAATAAGGGTATAATTGTTATTGATGCGTGAGGAACGGAATCTCTATTTTTGAAGCATTTTGTTCTCTATTTCCCTTCGGCGCCGTAGTCTAGTGGTTACAGTCACGAGAACAGTGTGTGCCGTGGAT